AGGGGGGGCCGGCCCAGTGGCGCACTGGATAGTGCGCCTCTTAGGAGGCGCGGCAGCGCTGCCGCCCGAGGGTTCGGATCCCACATACAGACCGGCTCCCGCTCACTGGCTGAGCGAGGCGTGGGAGCAACACCGAGGTTTGCAATCCCGTTGCCGGTCCCTGGTCCGGTACGGGGGCAACACTGAGGGTTGCGATCCGTTGCCGGACACGGAACAAAAAGACAAAAAAAAAAAAAAAAAAAAAGATTCAAGGGGGGGCCGGCCCAGTGGCGCACTGGATAGTGCGCCTCTTAGGAGGCGCGGCAGCGCTGCCGCCCGAGGGTTCGGATCCCACATACAGACCGGCTCCCGCTCACTGGCTGAGCGAGGCGTGGGAGCAACACCGAGGTTTGCAATCCCGTTGCCGGTCCCTGGTCCGGTACGGGGGCAACACTGAGGGTTGCGATCCGTTGCCGGACACGGAACAAAAAGACAAAAAAAAAAAAAAAAAAAAAGATTCAAGGGCTCTGTTTTCAATGCAACTTGAATTCTAGTGGGAGATTGGCAGTGTAGGAAATACAAATATGAATAAGACATGATACTTGCCTTATAAGAAATGAAAAACAGCTGTAATACAAATGAACAGTTCTAAAGTTTTAAGTGGGGAAATTCAGGAAAATTTCTTAGGGGATGTGATACTTAAATTGGACCTTCATGAGTGGAAAGGATTTGGATGAGTGGGTTAATATTAGGGAGTAAGGTGAAGACAGGAACAACTAGGTGAAAGGCTGGCATATTAGCAAAGTTTGAAAACAAAGCATGGAGCATAGTAAGTGATTAGCACTTGAGACTGATAAAGAGAACTGGTGAGCGATAAGAAAAGAAAATAAAGGTGGCACTAGATTGTTGGACAAATTTTGATTTACGTTGAAGTGCTTTCAGAAGTATGAAACCACTGTGTAGGATATATTTTAAAACTGTTTTATCCTGTCAAATTTAGTTTTAAAATGCTGTCATGAGTAAGGTTCTTGTTGCTCAAAAGTTTTTGTTTTCTAGGGCATCATTGGAAATATAGTCAATTTAATTATTTTTAAATTACTATTAATTTTTTACAAGAAAAGGTATCAGATGTTTGTTTAAATTTTTTTAAACCATTGTTTTCATTATATAGTCTTTAAATAAATGAAGGACTTTTTAAAAAATGTTTCAGAACATTACATTTCTACATGAATCATTTATGTAGTTCTAACAGATGGGAATTGCTTCATGCCATTTTTGGAGCGAGTAATATCACAGTTTTTAGTTGATTAACTGAGATTAAATTTAGCCTGAGCCCCTTGACCTGCTGGAATAGAGAATTCCAAAACTCTATTTGTTGATGTGCCTCCATGTTCTCTAGATGGATCTTAAAGCACTTAACTCTCCAGAAGTCCATTGCTTCTGGAGCACAGAGCAGTGCCCGGGGGCCATCAGACTCGTAGCAAAGGTCCTCCTTCCCATGTCTACCATTTGTCCCTCCTCCCAGTATCCTGGGGGATCTATCCGCTTTTTCCAGGAGAACAAAGCATTTCCTTAACCCCGTAATTACAAATACCCATTCTACTCTCCTAAAAAAAGAGCGAAAATAACTTAGAATCCTGCTGCGATGTCTTCACCACACTTAAGGTTCAGAGGATGTTACAATAAGATAATTTCTTATTTAGTCACCCAAGAAAGAGTCATAATTTGAATCGAATCTTCAATGATGAATAAGAAAAGGAGGAGAATACTTCTAGTAGACGAAATACTACTCCTGGTGTTCAGGAGTAAAAGTTTTGAGTGTTAAGAGAAAAGGTAGGTAGGAAAAGGCAGTTTTTCTTTCTAAGAAGTTTGGACTTTCCCCATTAACAGTTGTTTTTCGTCTATTTTAGGGAGCTTGGGAATTCCGTTAGAGGAACTTGATGGACCACTTTGCGGACCGAAAACACAAAGCTTCTGGGCCCCCTTCAACCAGAGCAGCTCTGCTTTCGTTTGTTTCATACGCAAGTTTTCACATGATTTCATCTGCAAAAAAATAAATAAATAAAATAAAAAAGGTTTTTATATTGATAACAGTATATTGAGTGTTTACTGTGTCCCCAGCCCTGTTCCAGACACTTGCCATGTCTCATTTGTTCTCACACCAACACCACAACATCCTCTGCAGATGAGAAAACCAGCTCCGGGAGATTATGTATTTGCCTAAGATCCCATAGCTAGAAAGTGGCAGAGCTGAACTTTGAGCTCAGTCTTGGCTCCAGAGACTATGCTCTCTTACCACTGCAGAATATTTAAGCTAACTTCAAGAGAAACGTGATCTGAGTTTTGACAAGTTACTTATGGCAGGTACAGTCCCGAAGCGGCTGCTTGGCTAAAATGCCCAGTGATGTCAACTCTGTCCCTGGACTTTTACAACCCGATAGGTCGATATTCAGAAGAAACGACGAAAGCAAAGGATTGAATAGACCAAAAACACACCCCGTGCTCGCGGGAGTCCCAGAATCCTCGCTTCCTCCGGTGCTGGCGGCCACAACGTAGCTTAACCGGCCGAGGCCACTAGCCCCGCCCGCCGCCGTCAGCCCCGCCCACTGCCACTAGCCCCGCCCCCGCCGTCGGTCCCGCCCTTTGCCACTAGTCCCGCCCACTGCCGTCGGCCTCCGCCGCGGAGGTCGGGTCCTGGCTGCAGCACCTCGGGGCCGCGCGTGTCGTGTGAGACGGTTGCAGGGCGCCTGGGCGGCTCTCGGGCCGGCGAGGGGTTGCCAAAGGAGTTTTAGGTATGGCCCATTTTCCTGACTCTCCCGTCCCAGACCCTTCGATCTAGTCACTCGTCTCCCACGGTCATTTCCCTTTCGGTAGCCCGCAGGAACGCTTTCCCTTCCCATTCGGTTCAAGGGGGCATACATCAGCTCCTGTTCCAGACCCCGGGAAACAGCCACAGACCTTTTCTCGTCTCCCAGACTCGTTTCTTTACTCCTTCATCCCGCGTGTCTCTTCTTTGTTCTCTCTTCTTCCTCTGTTTCTTTCTCTCGTTTTACAGTTACCCGCAAGTAAGAAAGGAGGTCTGTCGGTCAAGATTAGATGCAAAATTAATTTTATTAAGCGCAGGCTGTTATACAAATGGTTAACCTCTACCAATGAATCTTCACATGCTCCTGTGATTGGAGATGTGTTCCAGGATTTGTGGCTGATCTGAGAAGCCACCCTTCCCTCTCCCCAAACCCCTCACCCTAGTTTGTTCCTGTTGGCTTTATCACAGTGTACAAGCACTGCAGATGAATGCTTTTTTAAGGGTTAGGGATAATTGTTGCACACGTACGATGTGCCAGACACATCATTCTGGAGTCTTATAAGAGCTGTGCAGGACCATACCAGGTCTCTGTCGGCCCTTTATGAGTGTCCTAGAGTCAATGAAAAATCAGATTGGGCGATGGGGAGGGACGATTGGCCTGGTTGGCACCAAAGGAGGCCACACTCCACTACCTGATTTTCCACAGGGGTAAATAGAATTGTTATTTGTGCAACAGAACTGCGAAAAATTAATACTTATTACTCTCACAACCTAGAAGAGTCATGCCTCAAACATTTTAGTCAGTATGTACCTTTGAAAAGAGAAGTGGAGTGACTTGCTTAGGGACTGGCATTCATCAAATATTTATAGAGAATCTCTTATTTTGCCAGGCATTGTTTTAGGCATTGTGAATACAATGGTAAGAAAGACTAGCAAGATCACTGCCCTCATGAAGTTTACCTTCCAGTGAGGGAAGATAGAAAATAAACAGGTAAATAATATATGATAAGGAATTTTGGATGATGGTAAGTGCAGTAAAGTAAAACAGTATGAAATGAGACTGGGAGAGGGATTACTTTAGATTGATTGGTTAGGGAAGGCCTCTCTGAAAGATATCATTTATATAAAAACCAACCATGGAAATATTTGGGATCAGAGCATTACAGGTAAAGGCAACTCCAATTGCAAAAGCCCTAAGGAAGAAAGAGCTTGGCTCTTCTGAGGAATATCATAAAGACTGCTGTGGCTGGAATGTAGAGAAAGTGGTACAAGGTGAACTTGGAGAGATAGGTAGGGGTCAAATCATGTTAGGATTTGAAAAGAGCATGGAGAGCTACTCATAAATAAGTTTGGAATTTATTTAAAGTGGGATATGACCTGATTTACATTGTAAAAAGTTTCACTCTGCCTATTATGTGGTGAAACGATGGGGAGCAAGATTAGTAGCAGAAGGCAACTGCAGAAATCCAAGAAGGAAAAACGGATGCTGGGGATGAAGTGGCAGAGAAGTGGATGTGTGTGAGCTATATTTTGGAAGGAGAGCCTACAGATTTTGTGACATTTTTAATATAGGGGTGAGGAAAAAGGAATCATCACCCAGCTCTTAGGTTTTTATCTTGAGCTTGAGTGGATAGTTATGCCATTTACCAAACAGAAAAGACTAGGGAAGAAAAAGTGGGGAGGGAAGGGGTTTTTTACTTACTTTAATCTTTATATGTCTATTATAAACCTAAAGTAAGTTCTCTGTCTTGAGTTCTGTACAGAGAGCAAGGCACCAAAGATACAAATTTGGAAGTCACAAGCATGCAGAAAAACTCCTAGGGCAAGTGTGCTCATAGAGAACATTCCAGTGATTAGAGATAAAGCAGGAAAAGCAGCAGCAAAGGAAATAGGAATAGCAAGTGAAGTGGGAAGAGAACCTGAAGTGTGGTGGCATAAAAGCAAGGACAACAAAACACAGCCAATGATATTGAAATATGCTTAGAGATCAAGTAAAATAAAGAGATCTGTGCATTGGATTTTGGCAATGTATATAGTAATGCACCTTGACAGTGAAAATGAAGTGAAAATATAATATGAGGAAATAGACACAGCACTACAGACATCTGAAGATAATTTGCTATGAAAGAGAGCCAAGAAATAGAAGTAATAAAGGAATATCTGGGGTTCTTAAAGAGGGGGATACTTCAGCATGTTTTTAGACTAATGGAATGATCCAACAGAGAGGAAAAAATGATGGTGTAAGAGAGAGTGTATATATTTTAGGACTGAAGTTTTTGAGAAACAGAGGGAATGGGATCCAGAGAATATCTAGAAGTCTTGGCCTTGAGTGGGAACATGAATACGTAATTTCTGTTAATAAAAAGGCAGTGAGAATGGGTAGAGATGCAGACAGATGTGTAGACTCAGTGATCAAAGGTGAAAGAGTTTCTGCCTGAAATGGATTCTCTTTTTCTCAATGAAATATAAGGTATCAGGCAAAATCAGTCAGAAAGGAGGAGGAATGTATAGGTAGGAGGTTTAAAGGAAGAAGAGAAGATGTATAGTATTCATGTTGGAAGATAGAAAGCAATCAGACTAGAGAAGCATAGTAGCACAGCTGGGCAAAGTTGAGTGGCCATTTGAGACTTGTGGCCATTTGAGTGGATGGCTAAGATAGAGTGGAAGAAAAAGACCATAGAAGCCAAGGAGATCAAGGAACTAAAAGACCAGAGTGTTGGGTGGGTTAGACTGCCTGGATATTAGTGGTTAAGTTAGTGGCTAAACTAGTCCATGAGCCCAGATATCCTGACTTTTTAGCTCAGTGAGTTACCTTTTTACTGAGAAATGGTTCGGAGAATTACTCTTTTGTGCCACCTACCCTCGCAGTCAAAAAAAAAAAAAAAATGTGGGCTGATTTCTTTTTTTGGGTTGGGGGGCGTCCATACATACAAATTCTGGAGTTTCATAGGCTGATGCTCTGTCTTGCTTCTTTAGTACTTTAATAATACTTATTAATTTTTTGGCTTGGTTTTCCTTGTATATTAAAGTACAAAAGTCTGCCTACTAAATGGTAAAGGGGAGATGAAGGATAAAATTTGGAAATCCTGTTGCTTTATAAAGTTAGAGAGACCTGATCTGTATTGGCTCTGATAGCAATAACAATAATATACAGCATTTTAGATAGCCCTTTACATTTTGTGCTATGCTTTTATTTTCCTCTTACCTCATTTGATTTTTGTAACTGCCTTTTTCAGATGAGGAAATTGAGGCTCGGAGAGGTTAAGGGTCTTGACCAAGGACACATACCTAGTAAGTGGCAGAATTACTAACCACAGTGTTCTGACTCTAAGTCACACATTTTTCACTGTAGTAGTTTTGCCTCTTTGCTTCTTGCACTCCATTATATACAAAGTGATATCAAAGAAAAACTCTGCTGGGTAGAAAGTTATGACTGGACGGTGATCTCTTACAATGCAAAAAATATTTGTATGCGTTTAAAAACCCAACAGTTAATGAGATTAAATATTTATCTACCATATCTACCATCTACTGTGTTAATAAATTCAAAAACCCCAGAAACTATTATGAAATTGGCTCTGATTTAATTTAGTAGGGAAAGAGATGGGAACACAAGGCATTAAGAAGCATTTCTTGGACCTCTTTCACATCCCAAATGTGCTTCTGCAATACACCCTGTATTGACTAAATTCTATTTACAGAGGAGAATCCAGTATTTATTATATAATGGGCTCTCAATGAGTATTTGGCAAATAAAAGAATTATGATAATTAAACAAGCAATTACAATAGTGGGGTGGGTACTATGATAAATATGCAAATTGAAGGAGTGTCAGGGAAAGCTTCTTGAAGGAATAACTTCTAAACTGATGAAGAGTTAGCTGGGCAGGGTTGTTAGTGTTGGGAGGCAGTATACAGAATGCATAAAGTTTTGGAGATGTGAGGCATGGCAAGTTTGAATAACTTAAAATTTAATATGGCTAAAGTTTAGAGTATCAAGTAAGAATAAGAAGATAGGCAGAGAGATTAAGGCCTTATTCAAAGCTGAGTTTAAGGAGTTTTATGTTTTTCTTCTATGGAAAGCCATAGAAGAATATTTAGCAGAGAGTTTCTATTATCAAGCTTACATTTAAGAAGATTATTCTGCATTGTGGAAATTACATTAATGAAGAACAAGACTGAAGGTGGGGACAATATTTGGAAGGCCATTACAATATTTAGGGGAAAAAAATGATTATGGCCTGGACTGGAAGTGTTGTAATTTATCTGGGGAGAAGTGGACAAACTTTTTAAATATTTAGGAGCTTGTATTAACGTGATTTAGTAATTCATTGAATGTTGACAGGGTAAGAGATGGGGAGAAAGAATGACTTCTCAGTTTCTAATCATAGTGGATTGAATTATGTCCTCCCAAAACTCATTGAAGTTTGAATTGTGTAACCTAGTTTCATGTATTAGAAACTTAGCCCCCACTCTGACTGTTAAGAGGGTGGGAAATCCTATTATGGTAGTTGAAAGGTGGAGCCTTCAGGAGGTGATTGAATTGTAGGACCGTGCAGTAGTGAATGGATTAAAAATGGTGGTCAGGGGTGTGGTTCTGAGGGCTTTAAAAGAAGAGGAGAGTCTCTCGTTCTCTTTGCTCTCTCTGCTTCCACTATCTTGCAATGTGAGGGATCGCTGCTGCCACCACCAGATGTGTTTCTTGGACTGTGGATTTCCAAGCCTCAGAAACTGTAAGCAATAAATTTCATTTTCTTTATAAATCACTCAGTTCTGTGTATTTTGTTATAAACAACAGAAATGGACTAATACATTAATTTAGCAACTAGGTAGATGGTGGCTTCATTCTCGGAAAGAGGAAATTCTCTAAAGAAGGAACTCATTTGGTGGGGAATGATCTTAAATTTGGTTGTGCATGTACTGAGCTTAAGATGTTTATAAGGCAAGTAGAGATACTCAGTAAGTAGTTATACTAGTTACAATCTCA